CGCGAGCTCTCTGCTGATCCCATCCAGCCTCTCTCCGCTGCTTGTCGCTGGCGGATTGTACCAGCATGCTCTCGTTGCGACTGCCGTCGTTAGCAGCAGCGCACGCACCACGGCTCCATCCCCCTGCCCGAAGCTGAGAGCGGGCCCCTGCATGTCACAGGTGCACATTCCGACACACTTCGTACGGTCGGCTCAAAGATGCTCGAGCTCCGTACGCCGATTAGGAAGAGGAGCAGGAGGAGGAGGAGGAAGAGGAGGAGGCGAATGGATTCGGATGGCTCATCTGTTCTACACACCCCTGGAGGTTCCATAGTATGAGCGGTGGTTGAGTGGTCCGAACAACGGTAAACGATGTCGAAGTGTGCCTCTCTGGCAGCGGGCTGGGCAGGCCAGCCAGCCGATCAGTTCTAGGGGAACGAAGAGTGACCTAAACAGAAAGACTCTCCTCCTCCTCCTCCGCCTCCTCCTCCTCATCCTCCTCGTCCTCCTCCTCGTCCTCCTCGTCCTCCTCCTCCTCCTCGTCCTCGTCCTCCTCCTCCACGCTGTAGGGGAACGAAGAGTGACCTAAACATAAAGACTCGGAGGTCCGCGCGGCTTTCTCGGATCGGCGCTGGACCGGGTAGCACGGGAGGCTCCGCGAAGGGGCCCCAGCGCCGATCCGAGAAGTCCGCGCGGACCTCCGAGCTTTCATGTATGTGCCGCTCTTCGTTCCCCCACAGCGTGGAGGAGGAGGACGAGGACGAGGAGGAGGAGGACGAGGAGGACGAGGAGGAGGACGAGGAGGACGAGGAGGAGGAGGAAGAGGCGGAGGAGGCGGAGGAGGAGGAGTAGGAAAGCTATGAGTTGACGATGATGAGGATGTTGCTCGAGGGCTCAGCCGTGGCACCCTCTTGAGCCAAAGCACGCCCGGTGCACGCAGCGCAGCACGGACCGTGGGATCGAGCGAGCGCGGGCGGGCGAGCGCACACGGTGCCGGCGCGGCTCCGCAGGAGTTCGCGAAGCAGTACCGCCTCGACGCCCAGGCGGCGGTGAAGCTGGCGGAGGTGCTGGACAAGCGCGACGACCCCGAGAACGACATGGCGAGAATCGGGATCCCCACTGGGGGGACGAAGAGTGGCACAGACATTAAAGGACTCGCGGGGGTCCGCGCGGATTTCTCGGGTCGGGGACCCCCTCCCCTCCCTGGCGCGCGGAGCGCGCCAGGGGCGGCGCCGGAGGCGCCGCCAGGGAGCTCCAGCGCGGCTCCCCGAGTCTTTATCTTCGTGTCGCTCTTTGTTCCCCTACCCGTGCCCCCGATCCCCCGCTCGGTGAGGCTTCCGGTTGCGCACGCGCAGGCCTCGAAGAAGAGGCAAGCGCCACGAGCATAAACTGCTGGCGCTCCGCGCGGATTCCTCGGACCCGCGCCGGAGCCCCCTGGCGCGCTCCGCGCGCCAGGGAGGGGGGTCCAGCGCCGACCCGAGAAATCCGCCCGAACCTCCGAGTTTTGATGTTTATGTCCTTCTTCGTTCCCCGAAAGGTAGTCCCAGTTGGCCTCGACAGGCCCGAGTAGCTTTAAGTCGGCCCTTTCCTTCTACAGGAGGAAGATTCAAAATGGTTGTTAAAGAAAATGTGTGGGGACTATTTACCTAACAGCTTCTGCTGATAGGTTTCTAGTGGGGTCAAAAGAGAGCAGCAGATGACTCCACAGGGGGGTCGGGGCGGCATCCGGGGAGCTGTGTCCGAACTCGTTTTTCGCAAACAGTCACACACTTCGTGCTCTTCGACCTCCCAGAACTCCATTCCCGGGCCACCTTCTGAATGCCCGGAGCCAACTGTAGGCCACTTCGTGCTCTTCGACTTCCCAGAACTCCATTCCCGGGCCACATTTTGAATGCCGGGAGCCAATTGTAGGCCACTTCGTGGTCTTCGAGGTCCCAGAACTCCACTCCCGGGCCACATTCTGAATGCCCGGAGCCAATTGTAAGCCACTTCGTGGTCTTCGACTTCCCAGAACTCCATTCCTGGGCATGATTTTGAATGCCCGGAGCCAACTGTAGGCCACTTCGTGTTCTTCGAGTTCCCAGAACTCCATTCACGGGCCACATTTTGAATGCTGAGGCAGGCTGATGCTGAGGCTGAGGCAGGCTGAGGCTGAGGCAGGCTGAGGCTGAGGCCGAGGCTGAAGGCAGACTGAGGCTGAGGCTGAAGCAGGCTGAGGCTGAGGCTGAGGCAGGCTGAGGCTGAGGCTGAGGGCTGATGCTGCAGGCTGAGGCTGAGGCTGAGGCTGATGCAGGCTGAGGCTGAGGCAGCCTGAGGCTGAGCCGAGGCTGAAGGCAGACTGAGGCTGAGGCTGAAGCAGGCTGAGGCTGAGGCTGAGGCAGGCTGAGGCTGAGGCAGGCTGAGGCTGAGGCTGAGGCAGGCTGATGCTGAGGCTGTGACTGCGACTGCCGTTGCCACTGCGACTGTCATCGCGAATGCGACTACGACTGCGAGAACAGCAGAATTCTACAACTGGATTCTCATCTGAATCTTAAGGGGAATGCTTCCAGATATGCTCCTACACATCGCTGTTAGGTTGCTTTGCCGGGATAATCTTTTTAGTGGTTTTGGGCATGTTTGCCATATTTTTAGCGTATTGATAAATTTTTGGTCCAAGATCCGCCTGTAGGAGGACACGCCCGACCTGAGAGCAGCCTGGAGCGGCTGCGCCGCCTCCCTCCGGCGGCGCCCCTTGCGGCACTTCGGTTACCCAGGCCCCTGGCTGCTCGGGGGGCCTCTCGAGGCCAGCTGGGACCACCTCCGGGGGGGGGCTGCCTGTGCGCAGGCCGAAGCTCTGCATCCTCCTCCTCCTCCTCCTCCTCCTCCTCCTCCTCCTCCTCCTGCTCCTCCTCCTCCTCCTGCTCCTCCTCCTCCTCCTCCTCCTCCTCCTCCTCCTCTGCCCCTTGCCCCTTGCCGTCGCTCGGGCGTGGGCATTCTGCCTCGGCGAGGAGCCTCCCCGATCCCCTTGCGGAGCACGAGGCGCACGGGGGACGGACGCTCCAGCGACGGCGAGCTTTTCCTCGGCGAGGGCCGGCGAGGAGCATCCCGGGAGCACCCTGCGGCGAGGGAGCACCCTGCGACGTCGAGCCACGCACCGGGGAAGGGGCGCCCGAGCGGTGGCGGGCTGCCCCCGTGCACGAGGCCTCGGTGCACCACCGCCACCGCGCCTGGCCAGGGCGCCATCTTCAAGCCGGAGGCCCCAGGATTCCACGCGGGGATCGACGGCAGATCGGAGGCGCGCGCAGGGGGGGAAGCGAGAAGGGGCGGGCCTGCTCAGAGGGCTCGGAGGTCTTTCTGAGAAGGTTTTGAGCCTTCCCCGGAGACTCAGAAGACTTCTCAGCGGGACGTCCCGCCGCCTTCTGAGACGGCCTTCTCCTTCTCATTCCCCCCCTTCGCTCGCCGCCGAGCAGAGTTGACTCACTCCAACATTGACTCTTCCGTCACATTGCAGAAAAAATGGAAGGATCGTAGGTCTACGGGATACGATCTTGATTTATCGTGGATATTCGGCGGGGGAATGAAGTCTGGGGTGAAACGACTCTGTAGTCGACCCCCCACTCGAGCGATGGTGTCCTGAAACTTCCTGGCCGAGGCCGGGGAGAGCCAGGACACCACCGCGGGGAGCTCGCAGCCAGCGAGCGCATCCACCACCCATCCCCCTCCTCCTCCTCCTCGTCCTCCTCCTTGACCGACAGGGGGGGCGCCAATTCAACCAGCGCGTTCGTTTTCACCGTTCGGTAATGCTTAGCAGCCAACTTTTTCTTTCCAGGCCTTTCAAGAGCTCCCGAATGTAAGCGAGTACCAGCGCTGCCGCACGCTGATTCTGATTATCCTCCTCCTCTTCCTCCTCCTCCTCCTCCTCGCCAGGCTCGACTCGGTCATCCTGGGGTTCGCCAAGGTCGCTCTCCGTGGGGTCGCTCGCTTCTCGACGATCGATGGCCAGGAGAAATTTCGGACCCCCCCTGCGTGGAAGCTACACAAAATGCTTCGCATAGCGGACACGCGCACGGAGTTGCTGGTGCGCAGGATCCGCTACTGGCAGCAGTTGGCCAAGAGCCCGAGCGACTCTGTACAGGCCGTCGCCGCACTCTTCGGCGAATTCACGTCGCTGGAGGACGCTCCAGTGTTCGATGGTGCAGGCTGGGTCAGAGAAAAGTCCAACCCGTGGGCGGTATAGCTTCAAAACGATGTGCTCACATTGAGACTCACACCAAAAGGAAAAGAGTTCTGGGATCGTGGGTACACTATCAAAGACATCTACTCGGACTACCGTATCGGACTGGCGTTTGCAAACTTGGACCCCCAGGGCCTTCGCAAGGATTATTGGAACCAGCAGTCGAGTACACCTCTACGGCCTCCTCGAGCCCCCGTGGACCCTGGCATACCTGAGCCTCCAGAGCCTCCACTTCATGAGTATGTTTGTGAACTTCCCGTGGGTGATGGGGAACCTTGCAACACCGTCTTTACTTCTCGTGCGGCCCTGAGAGCACACCAATGTCACCATCCCGAGCATCGTTGTCGTGTTCCCCTTTATCAGCTAGTCGTGACAAACCAGTGCTTTTACTGCTCCTCGTCCTTCTCCTCCGTGGTCCTTGCGAAGAGACACATAACGCAGTCCCTCAAGCTCAAGAGGTGCCTAGCAGACTACAGCCCCTTCGCTCCTGCCGTTCTGAACCCTGGGACCCTCTTCTGCACCGTGTGTGTGGACCTCGAGAGTGCCCATCCGCTCCATCGTGAGAGACTGATCCGTACTGGATTGATCAGGCTCAAGGCGAGTTTCCCACGCTGTACGCCCTGCAGGAGCACATCCGTATTGCGCACGCTCCCCCAGCACCCGACATTTGGGTTGATGTCGTCGCTCGCGGACAGAGCGCTGAGCATTGGGACAGAGCAGCGGCAGCAGGAGCTACGAGGAGGGGGCGCCCGCAGAGGAGATCGGACCCGCAGCAACGAGCGCGGCGCCCCTCGCCGCGGACGCCGAGGCCAGGAGGTGCTTGCCCCAGCGCGCCAGCAAGGCGCACCGCCACCAGCAGGCGGCGTACGGCAGCAGAACACAGTGTGGGAGGCCACCGACACCCACTTCGGGCTCGCCCAGCGCGACGTCGACCAGCTCACGAGGATGCCCCTCGACTGGGTACAGGCGATGGTGCCAGTGCTGGCTCGCGTTGCCCTGCGCCACGAGGCAGCCATCAATCACCTGGAGGCGGTGGCTTACAGGCACGTGCAGATGCCCGCAAAGCACGACGTGATCCAGGCGATGCAGGTGACGGCCAAGTTCTACGGCAACGAGGCGGCCCGACTTCGCAAGGATCACAAGGACGCGATCCAGGCAGGGCAAGAGGTACCATAGCTGACGCAGCTCGGCATCCCGCATCCTCACGTATGGGTCGCATTGATCGGGGCGCTAGTGGGACAGGGAGGGAGAATCGGACAGGCCAACCTACAGAAAATCACAGAGTACCGCGACCAGCTTCACCACGAGCGCCGCAGCAACGAGACGCTCGCTCAGGAGGTGAAGCATTGCAGGCTGCAGACGACGCTCGCTGGGGACAAGGTGAAGTTATATCTCGCGGTGTCGAACACGGACTTGGAACAGACGGTCGTGAACGCCCTTGTCCAATTGGGCGGGATCCACAAGCACGGGACCCCGCCGCGGTCCCACAACGCCAGGCTGCTGCAGCTCCACCTGGACGGCCTGGACGACTGATCACTGGTACTGTGGCCTGGGACGAGGATGGTGGACGCATTACTGGTGCGACTCCGATTGCAACCAATTCGAGCCAGATCGGGACCTCCTCGTCGTTGATTGGGCCACACAGTTGTCAGAGGATATCTCCACTCAGCTCGTTGATGCCACGGGGAATTTCGAGACAACCGACATCGATGTATCCGACGACAGAGAGGATCCAGAGGCTATCGCCCAGAGCTGATTACGTCCCCCCTGAGGCCACAGTGAGCCACTCAGCACCTGCCGCGGCAGGCAGGCAGCCGTGCCCCCCCCTCCTCCTCGTCTGAAGCCCCCCTCCCTCTCCGCAGCATCCTAGATATCCTGGGACCGAGACCTCGGAACCAATAGCTGTTCTCGTTTTGTGTTTTTGCTTTTGTCTTGGGACGGGTTGTCTCGGACCTTCGCTGGGGATGCGCCCCTGGCCTCACGGCGCCTGGGGGGGAACTCTTCCAGGGCCCTTGCGGTCCCAGCGTCCCTACTGACTCCTGAGGCCCTCCCTGCGACTTTGAACAGGGGGGGCTTTACCCCAGGCGGCTCCTCCCTGCCCGCTTGCGTGCTGCTGTGCCCTCCCGCTGCTCCCTTGCTTCGCTGGCTCCTCGCTTGCCCTCCCTGCGTGCTGGCTTTGCTTGCTGGCTGGTTCACTTTCTCCCCTGTCCCCTCTCCGCCGCCTGGGGTACTGGTGGTTTGAACTTTGAAGTTTTGTGTCCCCCGCCCCCTCGTGCCCCACACCCTACGGCCCAACCCTGCCTTTAAAGCGACGGAACCAGCCGAGGTAGGGGGGAGGATGGGAGCCCCGTGCCACTAGGCCACGCGTGGTCCTTTTCCTCTCAGGTTTAGAACCACGGCGCCCGCTAGAAGGGAAGTCGACGACGCAATGGTCGGCCAGTCCCCGTGCTTTCTGCCCGTGGCCGAGTTCGAGGATGCCGTCGACACCCCTCTGATGCGCCTGCCGCCGCCGCCCCCTTATCCTTATCCTCCTTATCCTTATCCTTATCCTCCTCCTCCTCCTCCTCCTCCTCCTCCTCCTCCTCCTCCTCCTCCTCCTCCTCCTCCTCCTCCCCCTCCTCCTCCCCATCCCCCTCCCCCTTCCCCTCCCCCTCCCCTGGCCGGTTTGCCCCGAGAAGCTCGTTGCAGACGAGGTGGGGGGGGGGAGGAGCAGGGCGGGGGTCGGCGGGCGGCGAGCGAAGGAGGGACAGTGAGAACGAAGGAGAAGGCCTCCTCAGAAGGCGGCGGGGCTGCTCCCCAGACGTGGTCGCGTCGTTAAGAGTACTTTCGGCCCCTGGGGGCGCTCGCCGGGCCTCGGGCCTCGTCGAAGAACGACTCGGGATGCAAAGCCGGCCCCGGGGAGAGGGCCTGGACTTCCGGGGACGCCGTCCTGAAGGAAAGTCAGGACGCCGCATGTCTGGGCCAGAAGTCCTCAGGGCCTTCTGAGCAGTTGTTTCGTTTGTCTCCGGGAGAGGCTCAGAGAACTTCTCAGGAGGCCGGGGGGGGGGGGCTTCCGGGCCTTCTGACAAGGCCTTCTCCTTCACAGTTCCCCCCCCCCCCCTCGTTCGCCGCCGAGAGGGGAGCGAGGGCAGCGGGAGCGAGGGTGGTGGGGAGGGGGAGAGGGGAAGCAGGGGAGCATGGGGAGAGGAGGGAGGAGGGGAGGAGCAGTGGTATAGGAGGGGGAGGAGGAGCAGGGGTATGGAGGGAGGGGAAGGAGGAGCAGGGGTACAGGAGGGGAGGGGAACGGACCGGGCACAGGAGGAGCGGGGGAGGGAAGTAAGCGGAGGAGGCGGAGCGAAGAGAGGAGGGGGGGCCCGCGCTGCCTTTGGGGGGAGAGCGATCCCGCGGGCCAGGAAGCACCTGGAGCGATCGAACAAGCCCTCGTCGCTCATGATGATGCTGCTGAGGCGAGGGGCGGGGCGAGGGAGAGGCGAGGGGCGGCCGCGAGGGCGCGAGGCTCTTCAAGGGCCGCGGCTCGCGACTCCTCGTCCTCCTCGTCCTCCTCTTCCTCTTCGCCCTCGTCCTCCTCGCCCTCGTCCTCCTCGCCCTCGCGACTCACGACTCCTCATCCTCTTCCTCCTCGTCCACCTCGCCCTCGCGACTCACGACTCCTCATCCTCCTCGTCCTCCTCGTCCTCCTCGCCCTCGCGTCTCACGACTCCCCATCCTCGTCCTCCCCGTCTTCCCCGCCGTCCCCGTCCTCCTCGCAACTCGCGGCGACTCGCGACTGCAAGTCACCGTCCTCCTCGTCCTCATCTTCTCCCTGAGGGTGGGCGGCGAGAGGGCGTAAAGTCATTCGCGCGTCGCGCAGCGCGAAGCGCGAGTACGGCTGCCCGTTGGGAGGGGTTGCTTCAGCAGGACAGGAGGAGCCGGAGGGCGAAGAGGCCGGGCAAGCTCCTCCTCCTCCTCCTCCTCCTCCTCCTCCTCCTCCTCCTCCTCCTCCTCCTCCTCCTCCTCCTCCTCCTCCTCCTCCCCTCTCCTCCCATCTTGCCACGTCAGCTTGGAGGTCGGCGCCCGCGGGTGGCCGAAGCGTGCTCGGAGGGCGAGGGAGGCCGTGCAAGCTAACCAAAACACCGTTTCTGGCACGCTGACGATGGGAATCCGTGAACAAGGGCGCCTTCGAGGGCGCGAAGTTATTCGCGCTTCGCGGTTCGGCTCGGACTGCTTCTCATCCTCCTCTGCTCCCTTGGGAGGCGGCGCGAGAGCGCGAAGTTATTCGCACTTCGCGCTTCGCGCAGCGCGAAGCGCGAAGTTGGGAGCCCTTGGTGAAACTCCTGCAATTGTTCAAACGAGTGCGCGCGGCGCCAAGGCGAGAGCCACGTTTTGAAAAGGAGCCGCCCTCAGTCCGTGAAGCTCTCGCAAATTGCGAAACGAATGCGCGCCGCGCTAAGGCGAGAGCCACGTTTTACGACCCGCCCTCAATCCGTGAAACTCTTCCAAATTGTTAAAACGAGTGTACGCGGCGCTATGGCGAGAGCCACGTTTTGAAAACCACACGCCCTCAATCCGTGAAACTCTTGCAAGTTGTTTAAAACGAATGTGTGAGGCGCTCAGGCGAGAGCCACATTTTGAAAACCATCCGCCCTCAATCCGCGAAGCTTTGGCAAATGTTTAAAATGAATGCGCGCCGCCAAAACCATCCGCCCTCCATCTGTGAAACTGTTGCCTATTTCTGTGGTTCAGGGTCATAAGTGGTGAGGAGGTCTCAGGCGAAACGCCGGGCCCGCCCTAAAAATTGGCCTCGGGGTGCGACAGGGAGAAGTTATCTATAAGGAAAAGGAATGGAGGAGGGAGGAGGAGGAGGAGGAGGAGGAGGAGAAGGAGGAGGAGGAGGAGGAGGAGGAGGAGTGCAGCTGCCTGGCCATCCGGCAGTCCGGCCAGGCCGCCCGCGCTGAAAACAAAAAGAAGGTACATCGAAACAGAAGTTTGGCGCTCGGCGCTCGGAAGCTCATGTTTGTGGCGTGTTTGTTTCTCGTCTGTCCAAGAAGCAGAGAGGGGGGGGGGCGGAAGCGGGGAGGGCAGAAGACGGGCGCTGCTGTGGCTCTGCTGCTGGCTGCTGCTGCTGCTGGTCGCATGGAGTTTGGACGGATGCCGAGGTCGGGGATCGGAGCGCAGCCGTCGCTTCGCACACCCTCGAGACTCTGGCAGCTAGGCTCTTTTCCCTCGCACGGCCTCCTGGAGGCTTCGGAGTGCCAACTTATCCTGCAAGCCTGCAGGAGTGAGCTAACGTGGCCACTCGACATCACCATATGAGGCCTATGAGCAAAATGCGGTCAAGATCCAGTTAGCACCTATGAGTACATGTGCGACAAGTGAGAACACGCGAACAGTTGGAAGATGCTGTAGATCAGGGCGATAGCTTCGGCCCTTAACGTGGCATTCGTCTCCAAAAGAGGCGTACCTGGCGGCGCGCGGCGATAGGGGGCAAAGGAGGAAGAAAGAGAACGGAGTGATGGTGCTGCTGTTGCTCCTGCTCCTGCTGCTTCTGCTTGTGCTGTTGGCGCTGCTGTTGCTGCTGCTGCCTTTTCCTCCTCCTCCTCCTCCTTCCTCCTCCTCCTCCTCCTTCCTCCTCCTCCTCGTCCTCCTCCTCCTCCCTCCTCCTCGTCCTCCTCCTCCTCTTCCTGCACCCC